AACTATTCTTTTAAAACATTGTAACAAGCAACTTCACAGTTGAAATTATAATGCATTAAATAATAATGCATGCTAATGAAATTAGGATGCATTAAATAATAATCCATTATAATGGCACTATAATGCATTAAATAATTCTAACCCAAGGGGGCCTGATCCTGCAACGGTAACCATGCAGGCAAACTGCCCTCGACAGAGCAGTGAAGAAAATGGGGCAGCCCTTGCACATACCCTATTACTGACCAGAACCCTAACCATGCAACCTTATGCAAGAGCTGTGTCATTATACATTAACTCCCACGTTTTAAAATATAGAGAAGCACTGAATTAATGTAAACTTCAAAAATGTCCTCAAAATGGCCTTTTATGTTTCTGTATGCAACATTTGCTAAGAATAAACCCTTTAGTCATGCTCTAGAAATTTGATGAGTAGTCCAGAGCAATAGTGGAATTGTTTTAGAAAATGCAAATAGTGTACAGTGCCATGATTACACCAACATGTGTAGTGCCTACAGAAATGTATTAACTGTTTGACAGTCTCTATTTGTAGATAATGGAGAAAATCAAAACAATAATACCTATGAGATGCTTGTGAATGTAATTTAGAAAAAAATCAAAGAACAAAGCAACTGAATACACAGCTCTTGTATACAGAAATATATTTTTAATTTGTCAGTGGGTTTTTAAGAGCACGCACAAATGATAATGCACACTAAGAACACACATGAATATTTTAGGGCAAATGAATCCATTTATATAGATCCAACAACACATTCTGCATTATTTTCAAAAATACACACTAGTTCTATGGAGTCACCCGTTTCATTTTGAAAACTCGTTCCAAATAATTGGGACAGAGGTTCATTCCAGGTAGCAATGGAAAATGATTGGTGTCAATGATGTTTTCAATTAAAATTCTGAAAAAACTTTTATACAATGCATACCCAGTACATTAAAACTGGGACCTTCAGCCTGTTGGTGGCAGTTAGACTCTGCTGCTACCACCGAGATCCGTGCATGATTTTCTTAGGCTGCCCTCTAATCCCAGTCTAAGATTAATAGATACGACATCAAAGCATTGATAACAACCTGCAGAATCAATTCAGTTCTGGAAAGTTTCATCTGGAATAAAGTTGACAGTCAGCAAGAACAAGCTTTGGCACGGGATCCGTGCTAGGAAACCCGGTTACAAAATTCAGATGCCAGCTTTAGAAACAGGTTTCATAATTTGACAGCTTTCCCCACAAAGGCCATCGGGCCAGGAACAGCTAAAAAACAACCAAACCAAAACAAACCCAAACAATAAACACCTGGAGAAATGGAACAGGGGTAGCGAGCAAACCCCCCAACACCACCCTCCCCTCCAGCACCCATCCACCACAGAAGAAAATCCCCTCCACGGAGCGTCCCGGTTTTATCAGAGAAGGATCTGGCCAGCCGTGGCGGGGGGGGGGGCAGAAAAGCCCCTCACTCGCAGCCCTCCAAAATAGCACTGCCCCGTTGAGCACCAGCTTTAATGAGGCTGCCAGTATCAACATCCCAAGGATTCAAACCCAACCAACCCCGCCAGCGGGGCGTTTGAAATGCATGTGATTTCTGCTGGAACAGCTGCCTGCATGCTTCGAGAATTATTCAAAGAGACATTGTGATCCTTTAATAACTAAAGTCAGCTCCTAGATTAAAAGCCTTTATAAAGCTTAGACTGTAGATCTGTTAGAAGTGATTTACTTGCTACAAACAGCAGTTCAAGTAACTATAACCTAAGCAACCAGATAAAAATACTGTTTTCTTCCAATTCATTCACTTTGACTGGACTTTTACAACAAGTTTCATTATACTTGCTTCCTACTTAGGTTTCCAGCACAGCAACAGAAGAAAGTGAAATGTTTTAGAGTAAGTACATGGTTGTAAATCTACCAGCTGGAAAAGAGGCAATACATGAAACTGCTTTAAAATTTTCAACTTACTAGATTCCAAGGTCCTAAGTATATGGTGATATAAATACATAAAAAAACTATTTTTAAAATCTGGTTTAATCTTGCCATTTAGCTTTGTTTTTTTTCTTAAAACAACTCAAACTGGTAAGTACAATTTAGCACTCTCTACTAATCTTAAAGATGTATGACTGCTTAAATGCGTACAGAATACTGTTCAAAAGAGAGATTCTCATCTTTTTTTCACACATTGAAGAACTGATGTATTTCACCATTTTTCCCCCACTCATGATTTTTTAAGTGTCAACTGCATAGAATTAAAGTAAATGTAAGGGTTTAAAAGCTAGGGTTGATAAAAAGAAGTGACCTTAAACTTGATGAATGCGTAATGAAAGAGACTAGAGCTCTTCAACGCATGTTGTGGACTTAAAATTCAAGAAAGAAATACTACCTGTTGTTAGTGAACTGTACTGGCTCGTCATCCAGCTCCGCATCTTTCTGTATTTTAGAATTAAGATTTCTCACACCTTAACATACGCAAGGATAACCAAAAACTTTCCTCTTTTTCTGCCACCAGTTTCTCTTCTTCAAGAAATGTTCATTAAAAGAAAAAGCTTTCAAGAATGGGAAATAGAATACTATCTCTGCACTTGCAGCATAGCCTACTGTGATGAAAACCCAGCTTAGAAGTTCAGAAAACTCTTCCAGGCATTTAATGAAAAAGTTTCTGAAGCTCAGACTTTCTTTAAAATTTTCATTGCAAAAGCAACTTGCCTGAAACGATCGTATCTAAAATTGCTGACAAGCAGACATTTAAACCTCTTCAGAACGAAATTGCAAACTCTTTGAAAACTGTGGTAACATTTTATAAATGCTGAAATGAACACAAAATCTGATGGTTTGGTGCACACTTTGGATTCGGTGCCACACTTTTCAGCTCTCCTATAAATAACAGAAATGCTCTCATCTCATTATCGAAGTGAAAATGCGAGATGCAAACAAAACAACCCACAAATTTTCTAAAATGTTCTGGTTTAAAAATCTCCAGTGTTCATATTAGGGCATTTGATCTTTTAAAGAATATATTAAGCTTGACAGCGTCTCCCTAATAGCCTGACTGCAATAACTGGAACAATGATACAATTTTGTTTTGACTCACTGATACTGCGTGTTCATAAAAGAAATGCACATTACAGTAGGATTGCTTCATGCTGAAGGGTGGGTACTGCAGACAAGGAACTTTCCCAGGAAGAAAAAAAACTGTCTATAAGCAAGTACAAATTTTTACAAGCAGTCACTGGTATCATGACTTTATTTCCTCTGGTTTAGAAAGTCTAAGTTCCTGCTCTGTTTCTTTTCACCAAACCCAAATGTACAGAGACAGTAAGAATTGGTAAGAGCAGCGTTAGTCCACCAACTTCTGCACTACTGTATTTTAGAATGATGAAAACTTAAAGTTTTAAAGAAATCCTTTTCATCAAACTGAGATAGCTATACCTCATGTTTGGGTGGATGCTGGTTGGTGTCAAGGTGCTGGTTTATGTCAACCTCCATTGACATGGCATTCTCTAAGCTTCTTGAGACACACTGGAAAGCAACTACTAGGAGGAGGAGGAGATTCAAGAGTAAAGAGTAGAAATCCAGGACTCTTCAGACAGGCGATTAGTGTTTTTTATGCTAGCCACAAGACTACTTAGCTGCGTTCAGCAGCTTCTAATACAAGTGACATAGGGACACAAACCAAATGCAAATCTTTGATTCTCTCTTTTTTTTAATTAAAGAAAAAAAAAGAGAGAATCATTACTCCACTCCATCACTAAATCTATTCTTGGAAAAGAAAGACAAAACACCACTCACACGAGTGCCTGCATTACTTGTATCGCAGTACAGCCCAGCACCAGAGATCCAGATCAGCAGGCCATTATGCTAAGAACTATATAATGGTCCTCAACCTTCGCAAGGGTAGAAAGCAAATGACACACAGCAGAACACCACCACTCCCTCTATGCCCCACCAGCCTCAATTTAACCCACTCCCTCCACTATTGGGGGTGTCCTACCCAAGGGTGATGGGCTGGGGACTGCCCTGCTATGCAAAACACATCATAAAAAGATTAATTCCTCTCCCATGACAGGCCAAGCGGTTCCCCACACAGTTTATCTCGTTTACGCGGTGGGCAGTTGTTTCTTAAGAACACAGAGGCTGACTTTACCCTGCGCCACAGCTGTTTACTCTCTCGCAGAAATCTCATCGACAACCTGGTGTTAGAATAACCAGCGTGTCAGAAGCACCGCAACTGGGCGGTCAGCAAGGGAGCCTGGTTCGGGAAAGGGCCTGGAGGAGCTGTCTGGAGAAATGCCGCGGGGAAGGGATGGAAGGCTGCCCTTCCACAGCACATCTCCGAAGCACATCAGTAGGTTTCTCAGCGGCTTCAAACCGAGCGGCCCAATTAAGAAGGCAGGGACGGGACTTTTGACGGGTGAAGGAGGAGAAGCAAGCCTCTGGCAGGAGGAGGAGAGTCTGCTGGGCACTCGTCGTCACCTGGCAGCGTCTTCACACAAAGCAGCACCGAAGGCAAGACAGGGGAGCACGGGCACCGTCTGGACGTGGGCCCGGGCAGCCCGCCGTGGGTGACCCTGCCTGAGCAGGGGGTCGGCAAGGGGAGGCCCCTTCCAACCTCTGCCCCGCCGTGACCGGGCTGCCGGGACGGGCGAGCACCGGGGTGTGAAGGGACAGGACGGAGGAGGTCCCGCAGGAGCCAAGGCAGGGCAGGGGGCACCGTGCAACCAAACGGCCAGAGGCCCCTGCTCTGCCCGGGAAGGCTGTCGGGGCTACGGGCATCCGCACCGGAGGGGCGAGCCCGGCCTCAGCCGGGACGGGCACCTGCACCCGCCGGCGGTGCAGCCCCAGCACGGGCACCGGGAGCGGGGCGGGCGGGGAAGGGGCGCTCCCCGGG